GCGCGGCTCGCTTTGTTTCTACGGGCAGCCCCCAACGAGCCACTTGTCAGACCGAGCCCGTCGCCTGCCTCCTCCCCGCCTCGCCCCCCCGCGAACCCCGTCCTCCGCGGTTGGACGTTTTACGAACCCCTGGATGTGGCTTTTCGAATTGTGACGGCGGCGGCGGCGGCGGCTTGTTTCAGCCCCCCTCTCCTGGCTCCGCTCCTGGACGTGCCGGCCCGCCCCTCCCCCGCCTAGGGGGGCGGGGGCCGGGGAAGGGAAAATAATACGATTTCGGGGGAAGTCGCCTTCAGGTCTGCTGCTTTTTTTTTTTTTTTTTTTATTTAAAAAAAAAAAAAAAAACAAAAACAAGGGACAGAGAACACATCAGTCTTGAACTTCTCTTCAAGAACCCGGGCTGCCAAGGAAATCTCCTTTGTTTTCGTTATTTCTGTGCCGTCAAGTTTTGAAGTGGTGAGTTTCGGGTCGGTTTTGCCAATTTCACTCAGTAAAACTGCAGTGTTGCTGTTTCTAGACAGTACTTTGGTTCTTTGTCTCTTTAAAAGGTCACAGTGAAAGCTTGGCCTGGATCGTGCCGGCCATATGGAATGGATAAGGGCACAGTCTTAAAATGGGATTCGGGGGTGCTGCGGGGGCGAGGGAGGCGATCCAGCCCGGAACTCGCTGGAAAGGGTCCCACGTGGCGAAGAAATCGGTTCCTGAAGCCGGGATTTCGTGCATTGGCTGGCTGGCTTTTGGGGAGGAAATCGTTGCTGTCACCGAGTTCACTGCTTTCTGCAGGAAGGAGCATGCAGGGTCTTAGTTGATGGGCCGGGAGATGGGATGGTCGGAAAGTAGCCTGCTCTCTGTGTGCCCACCAGACGTTGCCCTCAGATGGGTTTTGACGTGGGTAACAAACTCTGCAGCCTGGCAGCTGTGGAGACCACCGCTGTCCGTCCAGGCAGGCCTGCCGGAGGTTGCTCTTTTCTATTCCAGACTGAGGCTTCCTGAACTTTAGCCTTGGGCATGAGTTTAAACGAGCAAATTGGGTGTTTTATGTGCATGTAATTTTGGTTTATAATGTAAAGCTTTTTACGGGATGACTTAGTGTTTAACAGACGCTTCTAGGTGGGTATTCAGAGGACAAGTTTGCATGACCTGTATATTTTTTGATTGTCAATACGTTAACTAAATTATAATTTATCACTTTCATTTGCTGTACAGCTTATAGTGCTGTTAAGCCTCATGATTGCTTAATATGTTTTGTAGCATTAACTTTGATGCTGTTGTCTACACCCCTCCCCCCCCCCTTTTTTTTGTTAAATTGCCCCAAGGGTTAAGGATTTTCTTTTCAAATCATATATTTTAAAATTCATCTTCTGCTCTGGGATAAGGCAACCAGTTTCAGAAAAAGCAGCTGTGTATTTTAATCCACATGAACCATTGTAAGGAGTGTTTTGAATAAGTTAATAATCATTGCTCTCTAATTTTGGCTTTAGACTGCAGTTTAATATAATGGAAAAGAGTAATCTTGATAAAAAGTGGTTAAAAAAGGCACATTTATTGTTAATGAACCTCATAACCAAAAACAGATGGGACCTCGATCAACGGTAAACCGTCAGTTCTCAGTGTGCCACTCTGGAGTACAAAGATAAATAGCCATTATTATTTCTCAAACTTTATAGTTCTTCAATTGGCACTCTTGAGGTTGCTTTTAAACCTCTTGTTAACGTTGCTGCCCCCCTTTTCTTGATTATATGGGACAGAGTAGTCTATAGTTAAATAGAAGAAACAAATGTTGACAAAGCCATGCTAATACAAACTGGCTTTCAATGGATCCAGATCTAAATCGCTTCGGCATGAGAATTTTTTTTTTCTTTTAATACAAGCTATGTCATTACTAGACAGCTGGGGAAAAAGTGATAATTACCATATTCTCTCTGGTTTTCCTAAATATGATCCCCATAGTTTGGTAAGCTCAATACTTCAGATACCATGGAAAGTTCAGAAAATAATTCCACTCACCTGTTCTTATCCATTACAGTTAAAATTGTATTTTAGAAATGACTTCGATATTGTACTAGTTACTTTATTATAAACAGCATGAAAATGGATATTGAATATAGAATATAACTTAAAATAATTATCTGTTAATTTTTTCCCTGAAGTTAATTGCAGTGTTCACCTCATTGTGTACTGAGGTGAATCTTGAGTGCTGGATATTGTGTTTTACCAATATCAAGATTTTTTTTTTAAGTGAGCTTGGCACGTCAACCTAATGTGCTTATCACCAAGTATTTTCAAGTTCTGTGCTATTTGAATTGCTAACAGCATTCTATTACTAAAGGACACCTAAATACTCTCTCTAAAGTACATGGATTGAAATGTTACAATTCCTGGGATATTTGAAGAAACACTCCACTTCTTCCTGTTTGCTTAGCAGAGAAATGATCCAATCACATGTGTGACCCACAACTTGGCTGGATGCTTATAACAGGTCACCTAACTTTTGAAACTAATGGTAGAAAACTTCTTCTCTGCATTAACTTGTAAAAGCCAATGGGGTGTTCAAAAAGCAGTTAGATGTTTGATACCATCTTTTGAGATGAGACATATATATTTTTTTCTCACAATACTTATATATATATATATATAAACATATATGCATTTGATTTAGCTAATATTTTGAACTGTGATAATCTTTCCATCCTTGATGAAAGCGCTGTTCTTGTATTCTGTAATAAGCTCCTAATTTTTAAAAATTGGGATGACATACATACAATTCGTTATTTTCTTTTTGGCTGTATTTGTTGTAATTCTTGTTCTAGAGGTAAACCCATCTTCCTCCACTTAGTGTTGTTTGTAGATGGAAAATTACCTTTCTATTCATGTGTACTGGTACAGTTTCCATAAATGATTCTGTTAATTCGAGTAAAAATCTAGTGCTCCTATCTCGAAATACAGTAACATCTGTATTAGATTTAGTTAAGTAGCTTCACATCCTATTTGGGGGGCGCGGGTTGGAGAGGTGGAACATTTACAGGGGCATACATATGTGGATGATAGATTCCCCCACCCAATTGTAACACGTCTTTTTCTTTTTAAATTCTGGCAGGTGATCTTATAGACAGTGACTGAGTATGGATCATTTGAACGAGGCAACTCAGGGGAAGGAGCATTCAGACATGTCTAACAATGTGAGCGATCCGAAGGGGCCGCCGGCCAAGATTGCCCGCCTGGAGCAGAACGGCAGCCCGCTGGGAAGAGGAAGGCTTGGGAGTACAGGTGCAAAAATGCAGGGTGTGCCTTTAAAACACTCGGGCCATCTGATGAAAACCAACCTTAGGAAAGGTAAATAGCTTTGGAGCCAGATCCTGGAAAGCTGCAAGCCCTGGTGTCTACCCGAGGCCAAGTCGTGGTCGTGTGGGGGCGGGTGGCTTAAAGCGCTTCGAGGATCCTATTCCTGGGTTCTCCTTCCAGTCTGAAGTTAGTTCCATTCCAGGCTGTTGTGATCCATCTTGTGTTGCAGGTGCAGGTTCCATGCTTGGGTGACGCATCTTGCGCTGTGCAGAGAGGAGTCATTGGACTTTCTGGAGGCTAAGGGCAGAATTCATTGCGAGGGTCTTAGTGTATGCAAGGGTCCACTCGAAAGGTGTTAATTGCAGGGGAAGATGTGCAAGCGTTAGACACTTAGGTTGTTTGAGAACCACTCATGCTTTTCCATACGATTGTCAGTTGCAAGGCAGCTTCAGAGGTTGGGAAATCTGAGGTAGAAGGGTTGTGATGTGATTTGTGTGTGTGTGGATGTGGTTTATTTTCTGAAGAGCTAACTCATTCACTCGCAGTGAAAGATAGGAGGATCGTAGTGTTTAATTTTTGCTACAAGAGGATATTTTTGCTAAGGGAAGGGCAGATTCAGGCAAGCTTGGAAGGGGAGGATGAGTGCCTGTGTGACTCCTTTTCCCACCAATATCATATGGATGAAATTCAGCAACCTCGTGTCCGCCACTGTTGTGCGTGTCCAGCAGTGCCTTTGCAGGGTGGGGTGTGTGCGCCTCCCTCGTGAGGGACTTTATTCTGTCTCTGGATGATGACATGTGTAGGAATCAGATTTTCCTTACATTCGCTAAGCAATGGATGAAAATGCCGTCTTTTAGCAACCAAGAATATTAAGTAGATAAAGTTAGAAGGCAGAGGAATTTCATTGTGTTTGATGCCTAACATTTATCATACAATCATTTATTTTTTTCCTTGGTTTGGCGAAAACAAAGAATATATTGATCCTGAAATGAACAGACACAGCAGTCCGTATTGTTAGATCTTTATCTATTAAAAATGGAAAAACAGCACTTCAGCAAATTCTTTGGCCTCTACTCATGATTACCCTATTTATTGATTGTTTGCCAAGAATGTATGCATCTTAAGAAAGCCAGGGTAAGAGCATTAAAAATATAATTTATTACAGCTTTTCAAACAGAGTGCATTAATATTGTACTGTGAGGCACTGGGGCTCTATAAAAAAGACTTTCTGACGCCTGCAAACATATAAGTTCCATAAATTCCTCAATAGGAGATTTCAGCTGTCTCTGGTATTATGTGATATTTGCACAGCAAACTTTAATGCCAGGACAGTTTTAGACAAGGATTGTACAGACTTCTCTGCTCCTTATGGCAGACGTGCTGTTTACACAGGCTCATAAACCTTCAGCACAAGCTTCTAAGACTGCCTTCAGGTTTAAATCATGTGGTATTTTTAGCATTCAGCGGTGACCAGTGCTCTCCCCTTTAAATGCTGGGAGGGTATGAAGTTGCTGGAGCTGGAAGTCTCGCCCGACACCAGCACGAATCATCAGACCGCTGAGAGCAGGCTCCTGTTGTCTGTTAGCCCAGGGACAGGAGGGCAGCCCCAACAGTTTGCTAGACGATCCAGCAGCACGATCTGTCATGAGACGGCAGGATGGTTCCCTTACCTGTGGCCACGTGTAGAATACACGTAATAGGCTTTAGCGTATTTCTGTATTAGATCAATAGCGTCCAGAACAAATCCTGTGTATTTCAGTGGTGTGAAAAGCCTGCAGTTATTTCATAGGTCTGAGGAGCCGCGCCTAGCAAAACACGTCTGTTCCATCCTATAAAAGGAAAAATCAATGTGTATGTTTTTGTTGTGCTAACCCAACTCTTTGAAGACATCAGGACGGGGGGGGAGGGACTGAATAGTACAGTAATTTCACTTCCTGCTCAGATGCTTCTTTTTTTTTTTTTTTTTTTTGGTGTGTTGCGTTCATAGTAACTTATTCTAGAAATGCAGTTTAATTGTGGAAGGGTCTCTGCTCACTCCAAACGACAGAATAACTAAAGCCTTTTGGTGGTTTTGTTTTTGTTTTGGTTTTTTTTCCGTCTTATTTTTCATGTGCATGTTTCTGTTTGACAGGTGCTAGATAAAAATTGTGGCTGAGATGAGAAAGCACTACCAAGAAAAAGGGGTTGCATGTTTGTATTTGTTTAGGAGATTTTGCCAAAATACCTTCAAGCCAAGGAAGAAATCACCAGTTTGCATATTGCTATTTTTGCTGTGGTCTCCCCGAGTTGTCTTCTGATCCCTGACGGGTTCTCTCTCTGGTATAAAACAGCTGAATGAATGACAAAAATATTGGCAAGCTCTGCGTCTTGTTTTTCATGCCGAGTCTGTCGGTACCTCCGAATGAGTTTGTGAGCTTTTCTAAGGAAATCTAAAGGGGTTTATTTGTCAGAGCTAGAATCTCTTGTGAACAGTTCACTAAAGCTTTGGTGAACACTCACATGCAGGAAAATGTAGCTGTTTTATTGGTGGCTTTTGTTCAGCAGAAACAAGCATATAGAGAGTTTTTAAAGGGCCTCTCTGGTGTCAGTAGAAAATCCTGATTTTTAGCTCCAGTTGTATGCACTAGACGTCTTCAGAAGTTGGGAGGATTCTGTGAGTCCAGAGGACGGGGCTTAGAGAGGCATTAGTGTTGCAGGACTAATTGGGGATCCTGGGTGCCCTGTTAAAGTAACCCTTGTCATCATTTATGCTAAAGATGATACCCTCCTGGCAGTTTGCCACAGCACAATTCAGATGCATCTGCTTTTAACCCTTTTCCGCGATTGGTGGAAGTCTGGCAGGGCGCTGCATCAACACCTTGAGCACCACAGCATTCCGTGATTTCAGTTGCTAGAAGAAACCTCTTTCTCAGCGTGGCGTGGCTTGTGCTTTTTAATCGTCTAGCATACCGAGTTACGGCCCTGGGTTCGAGTAAATCAAGAGCAGGTTTAATCTCTGCGGCTCCTTGAGCCTGAGACAGCCTGAAGACGCCAAGTTTCTTTTCCTGTCTTCTCCTTTTTGTCGCATTTCCTCCCACAAAGATTGTTGATTTGAAAGACTTAGGGTTACCGTGACACCTTGCTAGTCAGGTGACTGAGGAGTCACACAAACAAACGTATTCAGGCACTTTACGCCCATATTGAAATTGTGATTCTCAGCATCCGTTTGGCTAAGTTTTGTGTTGGTGCTAAGGAACCAGTTCGAGTTAATATCTGCAAAAGGAAGAAAGTGCAAACCTTTTAGTGGAAGATAATTTGCTTGGACACAAACAGGAAAAGTTTATTGTTCACAAAAGCGTGCAGGCAGTGGCAGTGGGGGGGTGGGTTCCCCTGCAGGGACTGTAGTGAGGTCTGCTTGCTGGCTGTACCCTCCTCACAGCAGATCAGAGGAACACACTCTTCATTCATTCTCTCTCGTCAGCATCGTTATTTGATCAGAAAGGTAATGCTGCATCCGTTGCCTCTGGGAAACGCACGGCTGAAATTAGAGCAGAGCCTAGGTTAGCCTAGGACCAAGTGCACGCTCCAGTGAACTATTTCTCTCACAACTTGAACACACGAAGGCATGTGTGTGTCTGTGTGTGTGTGCCTGCTTCTCTACTCAGTCTGCCCTGGAAGCACGGTGACTCTCTGGTGAAGATGTATCCTCGTGGCTTAGTTTTTCCTCGCCCCAGCCAGTATTTCTGAAGACTGTTGGTTTCCTGTCTCTTTCTCTCCATCCTTTTGGTAGGAACCATGCTACCAGTTTTCTGCGTGGTGGAACATTATGAAAACGCCATTGAATATGATTGCAAGGAGGAGCATGCTGAATTTGTGTTGGTGAGAAAGGACATGCTTTTCAACCAGCTGATAGAGATGGCACTACTGTCTCTGGGCTACTCACACAGCTCTGCTGCCCAGGCCAAAGGTAAATAACAGCATACGTGGGGCTGGAAACCTTGCTTGGCATTCTTTGTTTACCTTGCAGAGAGAGCACTGGATCTTTTCATTCAAAGGACTAAGCATCACGTTGTTTCCTTATAGGCTGTGGCTTTAAAAAATTGGCTTAATTCAGTTTGGTTTAGTTAACACACATTTTGCTCATGTGGAATGTCGAGGTAGATTTTTTTTAAATTACTTCAGCTGAATCATTAGTATGCTTATTGACCTTAATAATCTGCTCCACTGAGGACCCACAAGGAAGTGAGGAGCGTATTTGAGCAGATGGACTGTTGAGAGTCAATTTGCATTTATGACTGAATATCTAGTTCTGTTTCTTTTATTCTGTTTCTGATGGTTTTATGGGCTGTAAAGTATTTTTCAATGCTGATTCCCACTGCAATAGAGAATCTTATCTAAATCGTAAAGCCATTTAGAACTGGTTCAGCTATGTCTTATTAGAACTTCCTGTAAGTTAGGAAAATGTGGCCTTACACATAGGCTTTATTGATGGGGTTTTATTTCCAAAATAATAAACAACCCTACAGTCATTTACATAATTTCACAATTTGGAAAACTAAGCTGTGAATATTTTCAGTGACCTGCCTTTTAGAGGGAAGGGACTCATTCAGACAGAAATAACAATATTGCTTGTGGTGAGGGTAGCGGGGGGGAGAAAAGGAACACCCTTCCACCAGATCTCTGATCCGAGGGTGAGCTTTTTAGTGACATCTCTCTCTCCGGAATAGGGCTGATCCAGGTTGGAAAGTGGAATCCAGTTCCACTGTCTTATGTGACAGATGCCCCTGATGCCACGGTGGCAGATATGCTTCAAGACGTGTATCATGTGGTCACGCTGAAAATTCAGTTACACAGGTGAGTCCAGACAGCCTTTCTAGGGGGAGACCTCTCGTTCATCTTACCTGGTCGCTTCTCATAAAGCATCTCTGGCCAACCTGCCGTTTTTATTGACCCTTGTGTTTCAGAAAGGTGAATCCACATTGATTTTGTGACCCCCATCCCTTTGACTCTTTTTTTCCCCCGTCCCTAACCTCACTGTGTAATTTAAAGCAACTTCCCCCACCCCGACCCCTACCCCGCCCCCACCCCCCGATTTGTAGCTTTATGCAGGTGATGGAAAGACAAGACTTATTACATTTAGTCAATTAAATGATGCATGGCAAGAAGACATTTTACATAAAGTTTACTTAAGAAAAAAATATTTTTGCATATCATGAACAGTGCCATCTGTGTACATTTTGTGAAAGACTGTCTTATTCGCTATTGTCACGCTTTCCTTTATTTATATATTTTTTTCCTGTTTTAATTCGTACGAAGGGAGTCACGACAGGAAATCGGTTGGTACGCTGATGCTGTTGACGGTGGCTCGCGGGAAGGCAGTGCACCTTAAATTGTCTTCCCGAGCGCATCAGAGCAGGAAGGTAGAAGTAACGTGAAAAAATAGCCACCACAGGCAGCTGATGTATAATTCATGCATCGATACAGCAGATGTGTTGTATAAAGTAATTAACTAATCGGAACAATCAGGAGACCGAGAGCAATCTCCAGATGCATCTGTTTGATGCGCAAAATGAAATCTGTCTGTCTTAAAGGAATGTTCTGCAGCGGGATGCAATCTCGTCATAATCCCCTCTCTAATCTGTGTCTCCAATAGTTGCCCCAAACTGGAAGACTTGCCTCCGGAACAGTGGTCGCACACCACCGTGAGGAACGCTCTGAAGGACTTACTGAAGGACATGAATCAGAGTTCGCTGGCCAAGGAGTGCCCCCTCTCACAGGTACTTAGTGTAGCAGGGAGGAAGGAACAGGCCGTCGCGGGTGCCCCGATGCCAGGCTGCACGGGCTCCCTCACTCAGAGCCACTGGTATCTGGAGCGAGAATCGGCCAAAAATGCAAAGTGACTTGACCACGGGCGACCTTTTAAAATAGGCCTGCTTCCTTCGGAACACAGCCGATGTGCTTTTTCTCCCTGGGGGAAAAGGGCCAAAGGACTGTTTACAGGAAAAACAGTTCAGAAGAAGACTCTCTGGCTGGTCTTTTGAGTTGTCGTCTGTGGGCTCTGAGCATGGTTGCTCCGTACTCCCAAATGCCCTTATTTTGATTTCCACAGAGCTTTGGTGACACTGGGAATGGCAGTGTCAGGGTTAATGTGCCAAATGTCGCCATGCTATTTGGATAAAATAAGAGTACCACTTGGACACTTGATTCATTATCAAAAAAAAAAGGGGGGGAAACATGTTTAGTAAAAATAGGTATCAAAATCATCTCTTACCCACAGCTGAAGGTTGAAGAGTTAGTGTTCATTGGCCATTTGTAACCAGCTTGGTGGCGCTCGTTTTTCTCAAAGTAGGACCTTTTTATTTTTCCTCTGAGATACCTGTCATACCATCAGGCATTTTTGCAGTGAGGTATAGACTCTCACTATTGTACTTTGTGTATTACTGTTGTGATTGGAGTTATTTTTTAGAATGAATTTTGTTGAGGGCCCCAAAACTCTAACAGAGGCTGCTTACCTGTTCCTAAGTTTGCAACCAAGCATCATTTTTGATCAAGCTTAGCTGATTTCAAATAAAAAAGATAGGCAAAGAATTTTGGGGAAAACCTGCCCTTACGCTTGTGTAGTCACCATCTCCATGTATAATCATGTCCCCTCAGTGCCCAAACCCCCTGTCAGGCCATTCCGTGACATAGTATAATTGAAGTGCTGGCCCACCTAGGTTTTTACTGAATTTTCAGAGTTTTTGTTTAAGTCACGTTTTAAATGTGATTCTGTTAGTCTGTCCTTTGAATTTGAACTCTAGGACTCTGCTATAGACATTTCCGCAGTTGGGAAATTCTCAAAGTATGTTTCTACCATGCTCTGATTAGTAGATGTTCTCAAAATATATTCCTCATGTGAAACTCTGGGAAGATCACTGGGTGCCTAATGAGGGAAGCCTATGGGCTTTTGTGTGTTGTTTCCTAGAAATTCCGTGCATTTTGGGTTTGCTGGATTATAGTCCAGCGTCTTTACTTTGATATTTGCTGTCAATTTTAGGAATGAAGCAAATGAATTAAGTTTATAATTAATGGCTTTCTCTAGTCCTATAAGGTGAGCTCTAGCCACAGGTTAATTATCCTCTGTATTGTGAGGTGTCCATTTCTTACAATTCAGAGCAAACTTTTTGTCATTTCAGTTATATCTTTAACTAATCTCTTTCTGTCTTTCCTCTCTCACCCTTGGAACAGAGAGGATACGGATTTATAACCACTGACTAAAAATAATTTAACTTAACTAAGCACAGTTAAATCAATAGCATAATAGGATAAAAATAGTGTGACTCTTACATCTGGGGACCTTGTGTTTTGTAGACAACTCCAGACCACGTTACTTGGTTACTCACATTTGAAAATTTGAGATAACCTAGAACATAATATTAACACCCAGTATAGGAATCTCATGTGTCTTCACGTAACTCATCGTCCCATAGATTTTGGAAGTAAATTCAAAGACTTGAAGCGTTTACTTTGAGCTGGAGAAAAGGATACCAGTGCAAATATTTATTGATAGAGTCAGAACTAATTGTTAAATGACATCAACATTCAGCCAATAAACTCCACCTCACTGTAGCTCATAAATAGAATTGTGACTTTGCTTAATGTTATCATGGAAAGTGAATTGAATACAGACAATTATAACATGAAATAGAAGGACAGAATGAAATTCGGGACTTGGTTTTGGAGTCTACCTTGGTGAATTTCTCTACAGAGATCTTCAGAAGAGCCTCATGGGCCTGGAGACCCCACCATATTATTAAGTGATAGAACTAGACTGCGATGTCAATGTCAGTTATAATTACAGTCTTCTTTTATTTAAAAAAAAAAATCTTTTGAAAAAATTACGCATAGTTTAGCAGTGGAAACAAACCTTGGAAATTAATACTTAATAATATGAAAAAAAACTGTTCTCTGAGTGAGGGAGTTATTTTATATTTTACTGAATCATCTTTTCATCTTCTACAACTAAACCATGGGTCTGATACTCAGATCAGAATGTTTTCAATATAAACTATTTTCTGTTTCTTTATTTTCTTCTGTCTAAAGTTATTAAACATGAGAAATGCAAACTCCCAAAAGCCTATGCCCAAGATACGTGCTGAGTTTGATAAAACCACTCCTTCTTTCTCCCATAGCTGAGATTCAGCGAGGAAGCAGTGTTAGGGTAAAAAATACCTAGCAAATAAATATTGCCCCAGTCTTGGGCAGAATGGGACCTAATACCAAAAAATGTGAAGTGTTTCCGTCCCCCATGGAGTTTTGATTCATTCATGTGAGAACTTTCAGCATACAACTCCGTTATATCTTTAATCTCATACTACTTGTGAGGGTTTTGTTTTGTTTAATATGGTAAAATACAGCTGCAGGGTCCCTCAATATTATTCTTAGCAAAAAGTTCACCCTTGGGCAAGTCTGCTCCCTCTACAGAGCAGAAGCCAGGAGGAATGGAAATCAGAAACCATCAGGAATTTGCCTGAATGTTAGACAAGCCCTGCCTCCAGCGCTTTTAAGAGGACTACTAACCCTTGCTCAGCAAATGTCCATTTGGACTTGGATTCTTAGAACCAGGTGGGATTACCCTGCCTAGGCTCTTCCTTTGACAAATGAAGGAGTGAATGTCCCCGGAGATTAAAGTCAAAGTGCTGGTTAAAGACTGATCCCAAAGTCCTGACTCATTAAGCCTATGCCCTTGCCCAATGGTAAATGTTAAAGCAAGCGTGGATTTGCAATTGAAGACTTGTGTTTTGGTGCCACAATGTTTTCTTTGATAATAGTCGTCAGGTTTTCTCCAGCTGCAGAAATTCCATAAGTGGGCATGTGGTTTGATTTACAATTCATACCTTTATTTGTTTTCACTCCCCTATCAGAGATCCGCCCAAGTAGATTGGCACTAATGTATTAAGTTCCTTGTACCACGTGTTTGTTTATTTTGGTAAAATGTTCTAAGACATAAGAAACACTTAGCTTGTTATAGATCTGAGGTTGGGTGTTTTGTTGTGACTTTTGTTTTTCTCGGTGGATGTGGTTAGGTGAGTTGGATGTTGCATTCTGAACTGCAGCAAGGGAGGAGAGAGTCGTCTGACTCGAGGACAAGAAAGCCTGTAGTCGCAAGGCTTTTGAGGGGTAGGGATTTGGGCGATCAGTGGGGAATGTAAAAAGTAAGCATTTTGATTTCCAATAAAACATTAAATTTTGATGCTAGTCTTCCCTGGAGTTTTAGAAATTGAATTTAAACAATGGATAAATATATATACATTTTGATCACAGGGATAGATTCATTTTGGGGGGAAGTAAAAGGTCAGCTATTCTGCCAGCCTAATGTCTTCCTTCTAAAAATGGGTAGGTCAGATTTTCCTGAGAGATTTTAATCTGATGGGTGCATTTTCGCCTTCTCTCCCTCACCACACACGTGTGCGCGCACACACCCACACAAACACACCCACACAAACACACCCACAGCTTCCACATTTTAAAAGCATCGGGCCATTTCCTATTAGATTTTTTTTTTACCTGGAAAAGAGATCTTCAAGCCAAGTTACATATAATGAGTAAGAATTGTCATTTTTATTTTTAAGAAGCAAAATATATAAAAAATTTAAATTTGAACATTCCATTTAGAAGTGATATTGAGAAAGAAATGATTTTTTTGTCTCCTTTTTCTCACAGCAATTAAGGATCTTATATATGTTTGATTTTTCTTAATTACTGGCAAAACAGATAAAAAAGAAACTGCGTTTCCATTCTGAACCTTAGCATTTAACCATGATGATACCCTGCAACTTGACAATCATATCTATAGGCTTTTAATATACTTATATGTTTAGTGAATTTTCAGTTTGTGTTATAAAATGCAACTTGACAATCATATCTATAGGCTTTTAATATACTTATATGTTTAGTGAATTTTCAGTCTGTGTTATAAAATAACATTGTAGCAACAATGTAAGACTTATGTTATAAAAAAATATTTTTAAACACTATTTGTTTCATAATTTTTGGACTGAAATGGCATTTCTTAAAATTTTTAATAATAAATGTTACTAATCACTTTCTCTTGAGAGAATATCCAGCATCAGTAAGTACCCATGTGTTGTATTTCATGTGAACATCTACCCTATGAAATTTATTCACATATTCAGATATTTATTAACTCAAAAATTTGTGTTGAGAATCTGATGTGTGCCAGCCATTGTGTTTCCAAGGTAGTAATAAGAATAACGCATCTTAATAGTTGAAATAATAGTAGTATACTTTCATTTGGAGCTTTTAATGCATCAGGAGTGCTTCTATTCTCCTAAGTAGTAGGTAGTTTTATATTCCTATTTTCAAATGAGGAATCTGAGGCCCGGAATGTTTAAATGAGTGTCCGTGACTGCGGTGATGGCAGAAGGTTAAGACTTCATACCCCTGTGAGCTCAACCAAGTATCCTTTTTGGTAGAGGGGTAAGACTTTGTACCGCTGTGAGCTCAACCAAGAATCCTTCTTAGTAGATGGGTAAGACCTTTTACTTTTGTGAGCTCAACCAAGTATCCTTGTTAGATGGATAAGACTTTGTACTCCTGTAAGCTCAACCAAGTATCTTTGGTAGAGGGGTGAGACTTTGTACCGCTGTGAGTTCAACCAAGCAACCTTCTTGGTAGAGAGGTAAGACTTTGTACCCCTGTGAACTCAACCAAGTAGCCTTCTTGGTAGAGGGGTAAGACTGTACCCATATTAGTTCAACCAAGTATCCTTCTTGGTATAGGGGTAAAACTTCATAACCCCGTGAGTTCAACCAAGTATCCTTCTTGGTAAGGGGGTAAGATTTTGTATCCAGAGCCTATGAGTTGAACCAAGTATACTTCTTGGTCATATGTACAGATAAAGGAAGTTTAAAAAAGAAAAAAGGAAAGCCTTTGTC